ATAACCGTTATACATCACTTGGGTTATCGTTTTGTTTGATAAGTTAAATTTGTGGTGTAATCATTTGATATGGGTGTGATAATCATGTGATATGTATGTGATAATCACCGTTATACATCATTTGGGTTATCGTTTTGGTTGATAAATTAAATTTTTGGTGTAATCATGTGATATGGGTGYGATAATCATGTGATATGGATGTGATATGGAGAAGAAGCATGAACGACATGGAGAAGAAGAAAACTAATAACAAGAGTAAAACGTGGAAACGTGATAAGATAATTATGGTTAATTAAAATAAAATAAAAATTATAAAAATTACTTAATTACATTACTGCCCTTATTAATTTATTTATAATTAATATAAGTTAATTTATTAATTAAAAAAGTTTGAGGTTGTTAAATTGTTCTTGCATTCTCGTAAATTACATGGGTTCTAGTTTGAATCTCCATATATATATATATATAATGTTGGGTTCACGTGAGACTAAGGGTTTTTCGTGAGACCCGTAAGACCAATCTATGTTCATTGATCAACTTTATAAGCTAATGATCTAATAGTCTAAAGTTGCACGGTGGCAATTTTGTAATTATTGAGAAGTCTCGTGGCGTTCATAAATGTTCAGATCTGACGATTGTAGATCTAATCCAAGGGTTGAGAATTGGTCTTACGTGTCTCACAAAAAACTCTTGGTCTCACATAATCCCAAGTCTATATATATATATATATATATATATATATATGAGCCTAATCAAATGAGAACTGATTAGTTTGTGTTAACCGTGAGGTCCAATCTTAACCACAAATCAACGAATAAATTAGAAAATTAATATTTATGGTAGTTTGAGTTAAAATTATAATTAGAGAACATATTAGGTATTTTTTAAAAACTTCTCTCTCCTCTCTCATCTCTCCGACCTCCAATCTCCTGCCTTCGGTGAAATCGATATCACAGTATATCACAATGGGTATCACATTGTGTATCTTTGTTTTTAAGGTTTGAGTTGGTATCATAGTTGGTATCACAATGGTATCACAGTATATCACAATTGGTATCACATTGTGTATCWTTGTGATTACTTGGTACCTGCCGGATTAATGTTCACCGGAGGCCGGAGATTGGAGGTCGGAGAGATGAGAGAGGAGTTTTTAAAAAATATCTAAAATGTCCTCTAATTATAATTTTAACTCAAACTACCATAATTATTAATTTCCTAATTTATCCGTTGATTTGTGGTTGAGATTGGATCTCACAATTACCACAAACTAATCAGTTCTCCCTTGAATGAACCCCTATATATATATATATATGTATGTATGTATGTATGTATGTATGTATGTATGTATGTATGTGTGTGTGTGTGTGTGTATGTGTGTGTGTGTCGATTAAAGGAAGAATTGATTAGTTTGTGATAACCGTGAGATCCGATGTGAACCGCTTGTTTGAGATATTTAAGGATATTTTTTAAATAAGCTAAAAATGTGGGTAATATTGTAATTCTATTTTTGACAACTAATCAAAATATTTAATTAAATCTTTTAGAAGAAAATATTTAATTAAAATTAGTTACCTAGTATATCAATTACCTAATATATATCGTTTTTTAAAGATGTTTGTGAATCAAAATGTATTATAGTATAACGTTCACAATGTTTCACGTGTATCACAATTTATTTTTTTGTTTTATGAATGTATCATAGTGTGTATTTTCGTTATTTTCATTGTTTTACAAAGGGTATCACATCGTCCATCTTGTATGTATATTTGGGTATCACAGTGAATATCGTTTGTAGGTATCACAGTGTATATCTTGTGTTCACTTAAGGTTCATCGGAATAAGGTTCTTTGAATAAGATTCGTCGGAGAGATGAGAGAGGATATTTATAAAATTCTTAAAATGCCCTTAGTTAATATTTTCTAAGTTAAAATTACCAAAATTATTAATTTCTTAATTTAATCTTTGATTTGTGGTTGAGGTTGAATCTCACGGTTACCACAAACAAAACAGTTTTCATTTGTTAGGCCCCTATATAAATGAGTCAAATCATTTTAGATAATTAATGTTATTTACTAAAATAAAACAAAGGGTAAATTAGTAAATTGTGTTAATTATTCAGTTTACTTTAATTAGTTTAATATTCCAATTTACTTTAATTAGTTTAATTATTTTAATATATGTATATATATACACGCACACACAGATACACAGGGACCTAATTCGATGGTCTTCTCCGGCACCCACCTCCACTCCAGTGACCTCCTTCGATCATCTTGTTTGACCAAAACGCCGTCTCCGATGATCGATCACTAAACACCCACTTGTGAGCATTACTGACAGCTAGCCCCATTGTGTATCATAGTGGTACCGCAATTGGTATCACAGTGGTGTCAAAGTTTACTTGGTATATTTTAGGTATCACATTGTGTATCTTGGTGTATTTTTTGTATCACAAGGTGTCCGTTAGAGGTCGAGGGTAGGAGAGAGGGAGAAGTAAAAAAAATTAAAATACCTAAAATTCTTTTTAATTATAATTTTAAACCAAATTATCAAAAATATTAGTTTCCTAATTTATCTATTAATTTATAGTTAAGATTGAATTTCATAATTATTACAAACTAATCAATTCTTCCTTAAATGAATTTATATATATATATATATATATATATATAGAGAGAGAGAGAGAGAGGTTGGTTATTATACAATCCTTGACATTTGTGCAACCAATACAACACAATCTCAACCGTCCATTTCATTTGATTAATATGTGATTTTATATAAATTTTGATTGTTTTCTAATATAAAGTATTGATCATAATTAATGAACAATATTCATCTTCCATAAATGTTCAAATCATAATAAATGAACTCTCATCATGTTCATAAATATCTCATTTTATTGGGTTGCATTGATTGTACAAATGCGATGGATTGTATTTGAAACAAACTATATATATATATATATATATATTTAAATGAACTCTCATCATGTTCATAAATATCTCATTTTATTGGGTTGCATTGATTGTACAAATGCGATGGACTATATATATATATATATATATATATATATATATATATATATATATAACAAAAGGTTGAAGATAAAAATCCTTCATAAACCATTACAAGGTGATCAATGTGATTTGTTCATAACAATGTAGTTCTTTTAACCATTTTTTTACTCATTATATCATTGCGACATTTTTTTTATTTCAATTCATAAGATTTTTATAGTTGCTTTTATTGTTTAAGATTCTAAATATTTAATTGATAGTAAAATATTTCTATTAAACTATATATCAAATTGAGGGTCTATTTGTTATCAGCTTAATGAGTTAATAAGACTTCAAGCTTATTCAATTAGTTATAATGACTGTTTGGTAGTAACTCAATGATATAGAAAATGGTTCATTCAGTAAGTCAAGTTTTTTAAACATGTCCCTCCAAATTAAAAACACACTTCTTCCATCTATAAAAAACCTTCTCAAACAAAAAAAAAATTCCTAATCTATATAGACAACTTTATCCATACAGGATATAGAAAAAGAAAACCAATCAAAGACCCCCTAAATATCATATTCTTTGAAACCATGTGTAATCCAACCATAAGATACCAAAAGGCCAATTTTCTTTTGTATCTAAATGCATTTGATTCCACTCCTCTAAAAGCAATATTACAAAAGGGGTTATGGGAAATAGTCCAAATAAATAAATGCATAAGCAACATTACAAAAATAATACAAGGCGAAAAAATAATAAAAAATTAAAAGCAATATTTAGGGTTTTTACCAATTATATTTTGACACGTTAATGACCTAAAAACACAGGCGCGACAAAAAAAAAATATGACAGTTTTAAATCTAACTTAACCATAGTCATGAAATAAACTTTTAAACGATAGACCAAAAGCAAAACGAGTTAAAAATACCCGATGTTATTACATATACAATTATTGACTTATACCGAGATTCTAAAAAGCTGCAAAACTAGTTTTTGTTTCACGAACCAACATTCGGGTGATCGTTTTTTTTCATATAAAAGAGCGAGTCGGACTCGATGAATTAATTTACATATAACGGCCCCTAAATCTCGAATTTTGAGTCATTGACTATCAACCTTGAACTTATTGTTTTGGAACATTAAATTGGTAAGTAACAACCCTATGTTTGGTGAAAGTTAAAGTTGTTGGAATTAGGAATATTTAAAAGTTGAGGGTCTAGATTGCAAATTTACCCAATCTTGAAGGTCCTTTATGCATTTCACCATTTTATGTTGCGTCTATAAATGAACTCCAATTGTTTTGATCTCAAATACATGCACACATAAGAAGAGAAGAAAGATGTTTCCAAACATGTTATGTGGATCATGCAAATCTCTTCATCATCAAAGGTGCAATTTTTATTATATATTTTTATTAATTAGAAATATTTATTTAATCATTTAATGAAAAAAATAATTATTGTTTCAGAAATATGAAGATGAGTTTGAAATCAATAAAACCGGTGTCGAAACTCGAGTTTCAGTATTCCTTTCCGTTCGAGATGGATCCAGATGACATCTTTATTGGTGACGTTCCGTTCAAATCCAACAAAATCTCAAATAAGTAAGAGTACACAACACTCGTTTTTTCGACTATGAAACTAGATCGTAACTGTTGATGCGTATGTACCGTTCTAAAATCATCACAACAATAAACATATCTAAAGTGAAATTTTATTAAAAGTTAAATACATATGTAAACATGATTGCAAACACATTTACGTGGCGAATGTGAACCATTGAATAAAATCATTTGAATATGCATACATGAACCTATAAGAATAATTCATAAAGTTGATTCATATATGCTTCTTCAAATAGTTTTTTCGATAATTCACATATGAATCTTTTTTTTTAACCTTTGTTACTTACTTCTCATGTTATTTAGCGAAATTCATGGAAATAACAAATCTCCTAAGTTTTTTTTTTCACTTTATAGCCATTTTGAGACCTCAATTTACGTTTTTAGTAAATCTTTACGCAGAATTCCACCTTCCGTGTAAAGATTTCACTTTCTGCGTAAATATTCCATTTTTTTTTTGTCAAAAACCAATTCTTATGCATATGCGTAAGCCATCTTTGATTACAATGTAAAATGAGGTCTAAAAATGTGTAAGAACGAAAACCAGAGTGGCTATTTCTGTAAATTGTTTCATTCTCGGTATTAACTATTAATTTGTGTTTGATTATAATTTTGGGCAATTAACCATAAGGGTGGTGTTTGATTGGTTTGAACTTGGCTTCAAAGGTCAAAAATATCAGGAGGTCTCAGGTTTAAATACAAAGAGGAATAAAAATTCCCTTATGATCACGAAGGTTCAAATACGGTGACCTTATGTAGCAAGTTGGATATCCAAGTTAATAAAAAAAATTGGGCAATTAAGAGATGTCGTGATTATAGTAGCATGCAATCTATGCTTGGACTGTATCACCAAATTCACATCATGCACCCTTTCAAATCAGAATCTTGTTCACTGGATGATGAAATATTCTTGAATTTAATCCATTTGATTGACAGAAACGGCGGAGGAATCAGGAAGATGGCGAGCAATTTCTCCCATCTCATCCACCGTGTCACCGCCTCCTGCTTACCCCACCCGCTCGCTTCCGCCGCCAACTTCACCGATGACGCTTCCGGAGAAGAAGACATCGATGTGTACAATGAAGAAGAAGAAGAAGAAGAAGAAGAGTATTCAGTAAGAACCACGAGGGAGATGGAAATGGTGATGTTAATGGGTGAAGTGTTTGCAACGGTGTCGTCTATGAAGGCGGCGTATGTTAGTCTGCAGCAGGCGCACTATCCATGGGATGCCGATAATACGAGGTTGTCTGACGTGGCGGTGGTGGCGGAGCTCAGGAAATTGGGAGTTTTGAGGGAGAAGTTCCGCCGGAGTGTCGAAAGAGTGGGCGGTGGGAATAGGAGGGTGACGGCGCCGATGATGAAGGAGGTGGTGGCGCCGTATGAGGTTGCGCTAGAGAAGTTGAAGATGGAGGTGAAGAACAAGGAGGCGGAGGTTGATAACTTGAGAGAGAAATTAAAGACGGCAACCACCGTCAACGGCGGCGGTGGGAGGAAGAGTAGGTCTCGTTCTCATCAATCAAAGAGAAGAGTCAGTTGCAGTAGTCAATTCCAAGGTCCGTGTGTTTCACCGGCGGCAATGGCGGTGCCGGAACTATTCGAAATATGCATGAACTCCGTGAAAGATGAATTGAAATCCTTCGCGTCACTGCTTCTCTCACTCATGAAAGCGGCACATTGGGACATTACAGCCACCGTCAAATCCATCACCGCCTCCTCCGCAGGCACCAACGCCCCCGTACGAGACTCCATTGTCGGACGAAATCACGCCAAATACTCACTTGAATCGTATGTAAACCGAAAAATCTTCCAAGGATTCGACCACGAGACATTCTACATGGAGGGAAGCCTGTCGTCTCTCTTAAACCCTAACCAATTCCGATCAGAATGCTTCACACAGTACTCCGACATGAAATCAATGGATCCGATGGAGCTCCTAGCGATCCTCCCGACCTGCCAGTTCGGAAAATTCTGCTCGAAGAAGTACCTTTCAATTGTACACCCAAAGATGGAGGAATCACTGTTCGGAGATTTAGAACAGCGACGGCAGGTATTGGCCGGAAACCACCCAAGGAGCCGGTTTTACGGCGAGTTATTGAAGGTGGCGAAGGCGGTGTGGCTGCTTCATTTGGTTGCGTTTTCTTTGGATCCGCTACCGAGTATTTTTGAAGGGAGTAGAGGGGCAGATTTCCATCCGGAATATATGGAGAGTGCGGTGAGGTTTCCCGGTGCCGGACATGTTGTGGGATTTCCGGTGAGTCCAGGGTTTAAGCTTGGAAATGGATATATTGTAAAAGCAAGGGTGTATCTTGTACCTAAGACTGAACTCTAGGGGTGAATATTGTAATATCATATTATTTTCTAAATTCATTTTTCTTTTGAGGAATAAGCTTCAACATTTTCTATTCAAATGGTTAAAGCTGAATAAAGAGAAAGATGTGATCTTTATATTATGAAAATAAAAATATAACCCTCTCAAAAATGATATATATATATATATAGTACGTTTCAAATGTAATTTATCATATTTGTACAACCAGTACAACTAATACAACTCAATAAATTTAATTATTTGTGGAAATGATGAAAGTTCATTCATTATGATTTGAATTTTTATGGAAGATAACTAGAGTTCATTAATTATGATCAATACTTTATA